GAGCGTCAGGAGTTTGTCACCAGATGGTGTTTTTTGGACCACTTTGAGGGCCTAGATGAGGGTGATGGCACAGGCTAGAGGGCGGCAGACAAAAATTTTCCGTTTCAGTGCATGCAAGGCTATCGATTTAGGGGGTCAAAACATGTATCCCGAGTTTGTCACTCAAAGTCGTCTGGCTCTCTGACTATATAATTAATTTCTGCCGAATTAAAATTGAGGTAAGGGATCATTCGTTTCCCACTTGATCGATATCACGTGCGCATCGGTTTGAAATTGATTCCCGAACAGTTCAGTCTGTTGCGTGTGTGGTTAATGAGGTGAAACTTCGTCATCTCCCGACGAAGGAACGTAAGTAAATTTCAATGTTGCCGAATTTTTCCACGGAAATCGCATTTTTAACGCAGAGAGACTTGGATATTTTTACTTGAAAATTTCACTGATTTTTCTCATAATCTCATGCAAGAACCAGACAAATTTTGGTCAAAAGTTTCAAAGGTACACACTCGTAAAAAATTGAATTATTCGAGTCAATTTTGCAACCCTGGAACGGAGTTACGTTCCTTCGTGCGGGAAACGACAACTTGGTCAAATAATTTGTTAACGTTGGGCTTGAGCGCGTATCGTGAATAATCGATTATCGATCCCCATTTGAAGTAACGTTAAAGGATCGATTATTTAGGTGTTGGTTGCGAACACCCTGTTTATCGATCCTTTTTCATAGGTTTAAATGGCAGATCAATCGATAAATCGCAAAGCATACCACGCCACTAGTATATCCGTCGGTCCATCACGATAGCATGCTTTACGTAGCTTTATAACTGACACTTGCCCACTCTCGAAACGAGTGGTGTCCGCCACAGTGGAGATCTGCCGAAAAGTAAGCGGTGAAGAAATCGTTTCGGGACGCAGCGACTCAGCGGGGTGCGACTTTTTTGAAATGCCTGTCCACCGTCCGCGACCGTCATGACCCTGATTCGCGATTGGACTCCGGAGTTCTGGACGCCGGGACGATGGCATTACGCAACTGCACGGAAGTCGTCCGACTTGTTTTAAATTGATGAGAGAGTTATGTTTTGATCGGAGGCACTATAAAATTGTATTCTCGAGTCACATGACACACGTTGATAAGTACAGGGTGTCTCGGTGATGCCCGTTTCAAGATCGGGTCTCTGTAAAGTGTAGCTGGAATAAACAGCTGGGTTGGACCGAGTTCGCATCAAGTTTGAACAGGGAATAATAAACTTGAATGTTGAACGCGAAACTCAAGACAAAGACAAATTTTACCACCGTTTTCACGTTCAAAATATATTTTCTTGACTTCACAAATGTGACAGGTGACAGCGTATACGATTAGTTTAATTCGAATACAGTCCTATAAGTAAGTTTTTTTCCCCCAACGTGCAACTTAATTCGTCTCCATTTAACTTGGTTCAAAGATTTCTCAGATGCGCCCATCCGATGCGTGAGGAATGCGCTACAGCGGTGGGTTAACGTTTTTCGGATTTCGACATTACCTCACAAAAACATTGATTGACATTTCCGCGCAAAATCAGCCAGTAAAACTTTATTTTCAGCACAGTTAAGATCGCTACATTGTTTGTAAAAGATAACGACGAAAGTTTTTCATCGTTTGATGGCAAGGAAACTCTCGTAACTTCATATAACTTGTGCGGAAACGTCGATCACAATCTTTTTGTGGAAATGTCAAAATCCCAGATTTTGTGCGGAAAATGCATACTTCCGATGCAGCGACACTATTCATCGGGGATTGCTACATTTTTTGTAAAAGATAACGATGAAAGTTTTTCATCATTTGATGGCAAGGAAGCTCTTGTAACTTCATATAACTTGTGCGAAAACGTCAATCACAATCTTTTTGTGGAAATGTCAAAATCCCAGATTTTGGGCGGAAAATGCATATTTCCGATTGCAGCGACACTATTTACTAAAGAAGTGACTTAGCGGACACCCTGTATGCGACGAGCGCTCGCGGGGCCGATATGTACGAATAAGCGCGTCCGAAAGTGAACTTTTACGAGTCGAAGACACCGCGCCGATTAATCGAGGCGCCGGACAAAAAGCGCTCGTTAGCGCACGCGCGATCCCGGCTTTTCGTGCAGCGTCGCGACGCCCGACGCAACGGCGAAAGCGGAATTGATTAACCGGCGCACAAACGACCCAACTTAGCCAGGGTCTTTAAAATCAACCGTTTATTTATTTTCAGTAGAGCCCCTTTACACTAAGAGTAAAGACAATGCGAATATATTTCTGATTGGTTCCCACATTAATTTATGCCTTCACAGTGTCACAAACGGGAATAAGGATTACATTTTCACCAACTACAAAGATTATAAACTGGAATGGACCGGGGAATAGGGGGTACGACAAGGAATAGATGGAATAAGAGAGGGAACGGAAATAGGAATTCGAGAATGTTGATCAAATATTTACAGAAAACGTCCGATTTGTGTAATCTTTAATATCTCAAAATAACGCAAAAGTTGAGCGGGTTCGTGTAAGATATAGTAGCGGCTCCCATTCTCGTTGTTGGAGATCTCTATAGACTTGACGGGGTCGCTACCGCTCCTAGTAATATTCTCGTTTGTGACATCCATAAGCCGCGCTGTCTCAACTCTTTCTATAAAGAGACTCTGGACGCGACCAGTTCCGTGGCAAAAACTGAATTCGATCTCACTGTGCGGCGGACTGAATCAACATGCCCTTGCCTTGTGATCTTTGCGGGGTTTTGGTGTAATTTATGGGTGCACCGGTAGCGAACTAGCGGCTCGAAAAACAAACGAAGATGATGAGGAGCGTGCGGTACCGCGGGGGCAACAAATCATCGTTGCGCAACGCCTAGAAACTTTGTAGTTCTGAAACGAAACAATGAACCTAGGTCAAATGATTGGACTTTTCGGGTGCGTCGCCTTGCGTTTTTTGGCCGCTTTTGACGACAGCTCGTGCGGCGGTGTACATGATTTATCGGATCTTCAGCCCAATGAAGGTCCTACAAGGAAAGGGCGTGCTTGCAACTGTGCATTCCAAACCGGCTCGGATTGGGTCAAATCATTCTTAAAATGAGATACTCATATATCGGGCGAGTATACTGCACCGTTTCGAAATCGATGAGATTGCAGCCGT